TAAAGGAGTGATGAGAGCGTGCTTCAATTCCGAAGGAAAGACACCCATTGACAGAGACTGATTCACAATCCGGGTAATAACTGGCACTACCTGAGCCATGCAGGTTTTCAGCAGCCAAGTGGGGAGTGGTCCAAGGAACAGGATTTTGTGGGCGACTTAAGAATAACTTTGGATATTTCATCCTCACTTGTTAGGTTAAATGTTGTGAGAGGTTGTATCACAATCTGAGATTCATTGGCGCTGGAACCACTGTGAGGGGCATGTTTAACAGCAATTTCAAGTGAAGATCTGATGGTGATAATTTTATCATTAAAATATGCATTGAAACTCTCCGCCAGTTTTGCAGGTGAACCGTGTGAAGGCAGATGATTCTTCTTCTTCTTGAAAAGCAAGGTGTTGCAGACCCTGTACATGTCCTTCTGCGATTTTGCTTCACCAATGGCTTGTTTGATATGAGATGTCTTTGCTTCACTTACGAGTTTATTGATGCAGTCACGTTGATGTGAATGCAACTGCCGATGTATTGTCAGACCAGTCTTTCTCATTTGCCTCTCGAGCTTGCGGCGATGTTTTTTAGCGTCCCGAATCTCGTCAGAATACCAGGCAGTCTGATGTCGTACTGTCACAGTAACAACCTTAGATGGAGCATGGAATATGGTCCTCCTGAACCAATAACTGGTCAGCGACGGCAGTTATTGGTATGTGGAATCCTGGTATATTATTGAGTGTTATGAAAGGGGACACTCGTTGTCAACCATCTGCCGGACCGTCGGTGTCCGTCAGTGCCCAGGTCGCCTTGAGCGACAACTGCTTCGGAGGATACGACGCGTTTCAGAATCACAAGACTTCATCCGTTTATGTCAAGTAGTGTGTTTAGAACAGAGTGGTTTCCACATCGTCGTTTGTCCTCCTAACGGCTCCGAAATCGAACAAGTCGGCCGGTTATAGAGCCAGACGTCCGTTGTTATTCCCAGAGCACACAACAGCATGATCAGCTCGGTGTCCAGCTCGATGTCCCTGGAATTTGAGGTCATTGTGAAGGGTCCACTGGTCGCTTTGTTCATGACTAATGACCGAGCTCGTGCAGAAACACTGCATATGGACAACGGATTATCGTGGAGTTTCGTTCCTCTTTTCTCGTTTACATTTGGTATTTAATATTTTCTTTAGAGTAATTCAGTCAGAAAGTTAAACTGGTGTTTGAATATGTTCTGTTACCTACCTCTAAGATATCGCGCGCTGCGAAACTTTTTCCTTTGTGTATATATCATGAACATGTGTTTAGGGATCATACTAAATAGTGATGATGCCAGATGTGCACGAAACGTTGAGCGTATCCTGCCCGACTGGTCTCACCCTTCTTGAACAAATGTAAAGGCTAGTCAATGAAAAACGACAACCGAAACATTTTGCATCGGGTTTCCACGTGTCCAGAATCAGACACAGGGCACGTGGCTGAAGTGTTGCATCTATGCATGTATATGTGTAAATGTCAGAAATTCAATAAAAGTGACAGAAGCCTTTCCATAGTCATAAGAAATTCTACTAAAGCAACAGAGCCTGTTGCCCATAACTCCACCACGCATTATATTATAAACTTGTGTTCACCAATCACTGTCCACTCCTCGGTGGCACATGTCCCAATACATGAAACGGCATATCAATTATTCAACTCAACTCACACGAGACCACACGGTGCAAGTCTAAATAGAAAATTGAAGAAATTGGTTTGTGACATGCGTCAAAGATGTCCTCTATATTTCACCCAGAATACATGTTTAATGCTTATCTGGTTGTTTTTATTGGTGTGCATGTATGAACCTTCAAAATTGATTGCGTCATTATACCTCAGAATGTTCTGAGATGTGGACACCAAATACTAGAACCGCTAGAATGTAGATTACATAAGAAGGAAAAATCATCCCTCTTGGCAAACATTCTTGAGAAGAGTGTTTTTTCACTCTGAATCTATGCATCTAAATAAATATAGGAAGGCGGTTTGAAGACAAACGGACGAATTGAACTTCTGCTTGTGGAAGGATGCCCCTCTGCAGACAAGACATGGTAATTGTCAATGTAAATCTTAAATATCGCTGTCACGATTCAATACTATGTTTCTGTGTGAGGACCGCAGGCTGTGTTAACCTTTCCACCTTGCTGCTAGACAGCCAATATGTTGCTGCCATCTTTTCAAATTATCTTCGATGTATGTACATCAGTATTGGAGCTAAAAGAAAAAGATGCTTAACATCTTTTGCACACTTTGGTGCGGTATGTAATTTCCATCTATAACCAGAATAAGACAAGTGTAACATTGAAATTTTGATCGTTTGAAATTCTGTCAGAAAATTTTTCAATATGAATCAATTTAATATTCGAGAATTCATTTTCTGAAATATTTCAAAGTTACACGTTCGACGTCTTAACCATGGACATCTATAACCACCTGATCAAACATCAGAGATTTTGGTCTTACCAGTGTTAACATATTATCAAAATAAGAAAACTCTGGTAAAACACACATATCACCGGTGAAGAGTAATGATACCAGGTTAGCGTATCCTGCCTCAGTGATGGCACCCTTTAGAAATACATGCAAAGGTAGGTCAATTGATCACCTGAAGAATTATATGCTACAAGTCAGATTAGGGAACTAGATCCGGGGTTCTATTTACTATTGATGCGTCAAACAGTGAGATGGTCTCCACATGTCTAATGTCGTATCCAGTGTTACCACGGTAGTACGTTTGAAGACATTCCTTTGTTGCATGACGCTCTTTGAAAACCTGGCAGAAACGGTATGCATACCCCAAACATTGAACAGTGTCGACAGCAAAGTGGATCTAGGAACGCTGATCAAGTTGTCCCTCTTTTTGTGGTTTTGTGTCGCGTAATCTTTAAGTAAAGATTTAAATAAGAAACATATGATTCGAACTTCAGTACGTCCAGTACTAGACTAACGCTTAGTCGCTGAAGATATGAAGTCTGATAGTAACAAATAAACACATTGAAATTGGAAAGGAGCACCAGTGAGATGGGAAATTCTGAACCTGGGGAAATCTAGACTTGCTTCATTAAAGCTTTAACACTGCAGGGAGGGCTAGGCTGTAGGGGAAATAATGTGGTTCAGGTTCTGCGAGACAGACTTGTGCAGTACAGGTGGATACATCTGTGGATTTCAGTTGGTTATCTGCTCGCAATTGAACTATTTAAGATAATGGATATAATTGCAGCTCAAGTTAAACAAACAATCGGTACTCGCTGAACCTCAGAAATTGTTTTCAACGAATTGCTTCAATGTAACTTAGATGTTATGATAATTTGCCAATTCAACCGACTTTAACGTTTTACCACCGCTATGTCAACCATTTTCTTCTAGAAAATTACTCCATAACGTCATTGTAAAAGCAAGAATGATAGGACACCTTCCAAGCATCTGGAAGCAATATTGATAGTCAACAAGACCCAGCCTAGACAACATATTCTCCTCGGATTTTGCCACATAAACAGTTATCCAATTAACGAATCCTAATACGTTGCAGACCGCCTCCGTGGTGTAGTGGTTAGAGCGTCCGTCCGGAGAGCGGAAGGTCGCGGGTTCGATCCCCGACCGCGTCATACCTAAAGACGTTAAAATATGGTACTTGTTGGTCCCTGTCTGGCGCTCGGCATTAATGGGTGCAACAAGTACTGGTCGGCTCGGAGTCAGTATAATGTGCCTGGGTATTCATGCTTCACTGTGGCATGGTATCTCAGTGGGCTAGCACTATAAAACCAGCTTAAGTCTGGGCTAGTACAAGCAGCCGCACATACACATACACACGCATGCACGTCGTCATATGAGCGAAATATTCTCAAGCACGGCGTTAAACCCAATTTCACTTCACCTCACCTAATACGTTGCAAATATATGCTGTTCAAATACGAATCCATCAAACGCATACCAACTTTCCAGGTTTTGCAACAGGCATTTAACAAATAATACCTTCGTAATAAATTTTCAGCCATTTTAAGATGCAAACTCGATAATTCTTGTACATTTTGGTCATCATGTCATAACTTATATACTTCGTAATACTGTCTTTTGTTTGGTGTATCTTTCTTTCTACCTTTCTTGAATTTATGATCACAACTATATGAAAATTCAACAAAAATGATTAAAAAAATAGTATAACTGATATTGTTTTGCATGACATGAGGTGGTTACAAAATCATTTAGCGACCATTTCGATTTGGTAACTTTACAATGGACATCATGAATAGGAGGACAGTTGCTTCGAATCCCATTGTTTCACAGTCACAGATTCGCCAAGTGTGCCAGCGCTGCATCCATATTCATCCAAGTTTGTCTGTGACATGCACCACTGAGTGATTTCTCCTTACATTAGGCTGTCAGGTCGTGATCTAAATGGAATAATGTTCATGTGTCGTGTAAGCAAACACCTCCCCAATCGCGACATCATCAACACAATTGGCGAGACGGTATCACTGTCGGACCCTTCAGATGTGTTGATTAAATCTCACGACACATCTATCTCCAGATAATGGCTCCTAACAGAGCCAAAGTGGAATCTATTGCTCCCAATAACGGCTTTATGGATTATATAGTAAGGCAGGGTAGATGTTGTGCTAAAGATTTGGTTGGTCCATTAAGTTAGCACAAAGACAAAGGCAACAATTTAACGCGTTTCTCTGCCTGGTCATGTTTGATTGAGAACCGGGTACGATAAACGGTCTTCTCACACAGAACCAAATGTGGGATTCGAACCCGGATCTTTGGCGTAAAGAATGCTCTAACCACTTGCTTTTCACACAGTAAGGGAAATCTGATTCACATAGTATTAGGGTGTGTTCTAAACGTTGTACTAAGACGAATTACATATGGGATAAACTGGGCACAAAGAATCTCTGAATGAAGGAAATGCGGATTATGGTCATATGTTCCGATTGATACGAGACGTTTATCGTGATCGAGAGTCGATTGTATGAAAACGACTTACCCCATCCGATGAAGTAGAACAGTTTGAATGGAGCATCCGATCTGAAGACGTATACGACAAGTCGGTTGTGTAGAAATATGCCTTCAACCAGCATCCAGGAGAAGGTGGCCAGTACAGAGTACCATTGTAGTGCCATAAGCACGTTGCACAGCCAACGCTGGAACAAAACACAACAAGAAACATTCAGACACTTTCACATGAACGTCGAAACGAACAGATCGCGAACGCTGGAACAAAACACAACAACAAACATTCAGGCACTTTCACATGAACGTCGAAACGAACAGATCGCGAACGCTGGAACAAAACACAACAACAAACATTCAGACACTTTCACATGAACGTCGAAACGAACAGATCGCGAACGCTGGAACAAAACACAACAACAAACATTCAGACACTTTCACATGAACGTCGAAACGAACGCGATCGCATTCAGGCAACGCTGGAACAAAACACAACAAAACACAACATGAAACATTCAGACACTTTCACATGAACGTCGAAACGAACAGATCGCGAACGCTGGAACAAAACACAACATGAAACATTCAGACACTTTCACATGAACGTCGAAACGAACATTCAGATCGCGACGAAACGAACGCGAACGGGAACAAAACACAACATTCAGAAACATTCAGGCACTTTCACATGAACGTCGAAACGAACGGATCGCGAACGCTGGAACAAAACACAACATGAAACATTCAGACACTTTCACATGAACGTCGAAACGAACGGATCGCGAACGCTGGAACAAAACACAACATGAAACATTCAGACACTTTCACATGAACGTCGAAACGAACGGATCGCGAACGCAGGAACAAAACACAACATGAAACATTCAGTCATGTTTGTGAACGTCGAAACGAACAGATCGCGAGGAACAAAACACAACATGAAACATTTGTTATAGAAAAGATCTGTCGTCTTGATATATCATAAGTTTAAAATAAACATGATGAAACGTGAACATATTAATTCATAAACAATACGTGGAATTAAAACTAGGTAGAACTGATAATTGGGCCAGAACAAGCCCTGAAACGTGGTACCAAACAATAAAAGAAGATGAAACCCAGAAAAGTCTCTCTGTTCATTAAATAGCATCTAAAATGCCAATCAAAACTCGTGGATAATAAATAAGTGGAATATTGTATACATTCAGCACATCTACATGACCATGGCGCCGTTTGTACTTATTACTTATGTATTTTGTAAAACTTTGAATATTTGAATTAATTATGTATCAATATTTTAAAAACAACAACAACGCATTTGTTATTCTCTAATTTAATAATTAAAAGTTTGTTACCATTTTGCGATATGAAAACAAATATTTTAAATGCAACTACCAGAGAATCAAGATTACGGTTATGTATTAAACCGAGAAAAGCATTGCTCAAACTTATGTCTTGGGAACATTCTCGTGAGACTGTGGTAACGAATGTACTGTTCTAGTACTAATGTACCATGGGTGATAATTATTATCAATATCAGACATCATATTTCAATATTTTTATAATGAAGCACTGTATTGCTATTTGATTCCACACGGTTTCGTGACAGTTTATTCTATGACGTGTAAACAATTTGTTTATATCAATACATCAGTATGAACCAATCAAGATATACATATGACACATGTAAGATAAATATCATCAATATCAATAAATATAATCAATAGGCATTACTATCACCTGCTTCTATATAAGCATCACTAGATTAACGCATGTTAGGAACAACCAAAACCTCTAAAAGCTTAATAGCAAACTAGAAATCATGGCGACAGCTGTCACTGTTCCATTAAGTTCTAAACCACAACACAGGCCCACATGTCATTCCCTCCAGTCACAGCCAGGGACACAGGCCCACACTCTAATCTCTCCAATCACAATCAGGGACACGGGCCCACATTCCATTCCCACTAATCACAGCCAGGGACACAGCCAGTATGCACTTAAGCTGTACAGCCGTTATCAGTACTCGCCACACGTCTCGCTTTTCCATTTCTACAGCTTCGCTCTCTCAATGATGCATACATGAACACCACCGACTTGTCAGAAAGTATCACAACATCTATCTTATCTCATGTCAAGCTCCTCTATACATATTGATCAGTGGTAACGAACGTATCGTGTGTAGTGTTACAAGTAACGGTGTCCTAGAATGACGCTATACCAAAACAACCACGCGTTTTAAAGTTAACAATACATTTTTAAGAGATGATAATAAAAAATCATATAAATTTTTAATTCAAGTTCTCGGCAATATCAAACACTTGTACCATATGTTTCTCTGATTATATACGACAAATGATAAATGAATACATGAAAAGTGGCACAGAATATGCAGCAATAGATGACAGCTGACGTTATTGCCTGGGAAATCATGACACATCAACACGCCTCCCTTTGATAGTTTTATCCTATGGACTATTTATACGTTTCTTGACAGCCTTTCTTGGCAGAGCTCAATCATTACTTTAGTTTTATAACATATTTCAAAACATAAAACACCATCATCAGCATCATGCTCACGTCTATTAAAATTGGGGCGTGGGGTAGCCTAGTGGTTAAAGCGTATTAAAATTGTATCCCCCGCCGTGATACAAACGCTTCTTTATTGGTCCAGCGTAAGTGATACGGCTAACGAAGATTTATTATGTTTGTACGCCAAAAAGCCAACCATAGATATGTTTAGAAAGGCAGAGATACTGTGTATTGCCTTGAGTATTAAGTAATACAATATTCCTTCACACACACGAAACACTCAAAACAGTACATGTATTCTATTTTCTCCAAGTATCCGCGACTGAAGTTGATAATTGTCGATAAGCAGTTGTAAATTAGATAAAACATTTTGAACATTAAAATGGAAATTGCTCTTAACTTATAATTATATGAGCTGGCATTTAAGTGGATATTAGGCAGGTATAAAAACGTATAATGTCCTAGCATAAGGGCAGCCTTAACAATCACAAGGAAAGGATTCCATGTAGTGTAACATATGTAATTGTTTGTGCTCATGTGTGAGATAAGTTCTGTGAAGTATATATGACATCAAACTAAACTGGCCTATGTCGTCAAGGGATTCGAGAGTCGGACCACATTTTAAATACATTTAGAAAGAGAGAGCTACCAAAACTTCCCAATAACGTTGTGCGTTAACAATGATGAATCATTTGGTTCCAAACTTGCGAGTATTTTTAAGAGTGAGTGAGTTTAGTTTTAGGCCGCACCCAACAATGGCACAGGTATATGGCGGCTGTCCGTAAATAATCGAGTCTGGACCAGACAATCAAGTGATCAACAGCATGAACATCGAGCCCACCTGTGACCGGGTGTAGAAACCTTGGAGTCTCTTTAAGTGTTGTCACAACCCCTAGTGTACAGTACACAACCCTGTGCACTTAAAAGAACCCACGAATCCGTTGGTAAATGGCCATATGGTGGCCATATGAATACGTGTGAACACCTGGTTGCAGGTACAGCAACGTGCAGTAAACATGGACAAAGCATTGTGTCCCAGTCCACCCAGCTGTGAATGGGTACCTCGTAAGGATGGGAAAGACACAATAAGTTGGTGCGCATAGTGGCTTCAAGAGTTGTATGCTCCCCAGGGAATTGAGACTGATAATACGATGTGCCGTTGAGATTGAATCTAATGATTGAGGGGAAAAAACAGCGCTTTGAGCATGTACTAGTTGCGTGGATATGTGCGCTGTATAAATATCCTATAATAATAAAAAATCTACGCCATTGGGATACGATGACATGTGTCAACCAAGTCAGCGAGCCTGATCACCTAATCCCGTTAGTTGCCTCTTACAACAAGCATGGGTTACTGAAGATCAATACGAACCCGGATCTTCACGGGTTGTATTTTTAAGAAACACATGACAGTAACACTCGCCAGTGAAAATATGAAACCTTTATCTCTTTAATATATGAGCACTTATAAAACCTTTTGGAGATTGTGTTCAATAATCATGCACATATCTCAAGATGGAAAATGCAATATGCTTTCGTACATTGTCGCAATCTTTCTAAAGAAGTCTGTCCCTTTATAAATATATTTTCTCATGAAAATACCTTTTTTTATGAAAGCAGAAAGTGAACACTGGCACTTATTCACATTTCCTCCTTGTTTCCAGAGAGTTACATTTATCAATTTCGACTTTCAGGGGGAAATCATAAAAAAATAACACTGCAAATGAATGGAATTTTCGGAATTTTCTTTTTACAGGAATAATCAATCCGAATCTTTTGATGATGACGTTTCTCTCTCTTGAAATAATTTATAGATTTATAACCGTTTTCTTCATGAATACCGGGGGTTCTGTCTGAAATTGTTTGCCTCGTATTCAATCAGAACTATTTGCCGTCATATTAGGTATGATTAAGCGCCATTCGTTCTTAAGTGAAACGGTGAGGCTGAACCCTGTGTTTCTGCAGCTGACATCGCCATGACATAGCCAATTTAGATTTCAAATGAAGAACAAGTTATGCTGCAATCAAGCTAAAAATATATTCCGAAAGCAAAAATATGGTGATGTATTTTTACCTCAGCTGCTGAAACTTTGGGAACTTAAAAATAATTATTATATAGCTTTTTACGTGAGTATGTTAATGAACAAGGGTTCACTGAGACGATTTACATGTACAGTAATAGACATTGCCAGTTGTAATCTACCTTAAAACAAAGACGCCCAACATGCGAAAATGTTCGATCAAAAAGATCTGGTTGATAGAACGTATGCATAGAAAGCATAAGTTTATTCCAAATGACGTTAAAAGTGGTACTTCCTGTAACCATGTCTGGCGCCCGGAATTGAGATCATGAAACAATGAGCGGTCAGCTCGGAGACACTGTAATGGGTCTGAGTGGGTGTACATGTTAATCTGTAGCATAATACCTCACGGCTTCTCCCGATGAAACAGAATAAGGATGGAACAGTACACGCCACACTAAAGCAAGTACGCAAGTGGAAATGTTAAAGCACGACACCCCCTCCCCCCTACCCCCGACGTGTCACAGAACGATTTCTTGGAAAGGAGAGCAATATCTTTAATTTGAAACAGCGAGGGCCAACTACGAACTAATCTTGCTGATTACTATTCAATTTAAGCGAAGACTAGATTTTGCCTTTTTAGATCGACCGCCTCCGTGGTGTAGTGGTTAGAGCGTCCGCCCGGAGAGCGGAAGCGGAAAACGTTAAAATATGGTACTTGTTGGTCCCTGCCTGGCGCTCGGCATTAATGGGTACAACAAGGACTGGTCGGCTCGGAGTCAGTATAATGTGTCTGAATGGGGTATTCATGCTTCACTGCGGCATGGTATCTCAGTGGGCTAGCACTATAAAACCAGCTTAAGTCTGGGCTAGTACAAGCAGCCACACATACACATACACACGCATGCACGTCGTCATATGAGCGATATATTCTCAAGCACGACATAAAACCCAATTTCACCTCACCCTCATACTTTTAGATCCAATGCTGAATCTGTTTCGGTGGGTAATTGAAACTTTGTATTCTCTCCCGTTGACATTTTATAGCAGCGTAGCGTTGGAGATCTGGTAAGAAATTGTAAGGTGACCTGTCCATGTACTCCGCGTACCTATCGTGTTCATCCCGGCAAGAATGTTTGAAACTAACACTGTAAAAAGCATGTAATCATCATACAGGAAATCTTATCACGACTAATGGGATATTCAGAGAATGGGTTTTAAGTAATAAACAAAAATCGTTCACGGTAATACGTGAAGTTGAAACGAACCTTTCCATCGCGTACAGTAATTTGAAGTCATCTATAATTTAGCGTTTTTTATCTTTCGATTTTTAAATGCACTGCCCTCAGTCACATTTGTTGCAGAGTTTACTTTGGGCTTTATTAGAGTTTCATTCCATTTTTTACTACAAACAAACTACGCTTACAATGTACCTACATTGTTTCATTACATCGTTCCAATACCATGTGTATAAATAAATCATATATACCTACACTAGCTCTTCACCCGTAGTTGTGGCTCCCCTCTATACAAGTTAAAGAAGGCCATTTGAATTATGTCTGCAACTCACTATTACATGTTCTGTTCAGTGTTCTGCATGCTTTTGTCATGATACAGATATACAGCAGCTCGACTGGAACTAACTCGAGTGTAAAGGTGTAAAGATCACGGTTGTTGGCGCTATGAAAGCAAACACTCTTTTCCCAGCCAGTTTTATCGCCAGAGTGAGTGGGTTATATCTCTATACATATATCAAATAACACGTCTTGAAGAAACACACGAAATTGTAACTTCAACTCAGCATTATAACTCCTGGTAAAAAGTGCCAAAAAGGGTTAAAAATACATTTGAAAGTCGAAAGAATGTTAGTCAATCTGTTTTTCTTCCTGCTGACATTTGGTTTGTGGCAGTCGAAACTGATATTCACGACAGATGATGAACGCAGCGTATGCTTTCTGTTAACATAGGCGGCGAATAATTTCCAAAGGCGTAAATGTACCATTTGTCTGCTTATTACCAAAGCCACCTTATGTTATATTTATATTGGACAATTCAGTCAATACGTGTCTGAAATGCACCCTCTACCCAGTCCATCTACGTCTGATCCAACAGCTATCTACTTTGTCATTAGACAATTAACATCGACTGTGGAACATGTGTTCGGTGTGATAATTCATACAAATCCAATGTAAGATGAAACAGGCAGATGTATGGCGATGATCCTCTATTGTCTGACACTGGCGACGACATTTTCCATCAATTGATGCTGTGTTTGATTGATCAAGGTCAAAGATCGAATATCAATATACCACACGTCTTTGATGTGAGATTTAAGAAGGTATGAAGATGAGCGGCTTGTAAAGATTTATTGTCGCTTTATGGTCAGTCTGTGTGACATAAAATGACCTATGTCTTCGAGGGTACAACCATCAGAGGTTGTGTCTGAACTGACGATCTGAACTTCAGGAAATCCGCATTAGCTAGTGTTGTGATTTACAACAGCAGGAGCAATACAATGCCATGGGTGAAATGAAATGTTAAGAAGACCAGAAAGGCCATTGATTTTTGGAATTTTAAATGTTTGTAAAACTTGCCTTCAAAAATAATAATCACAGATTCAAACCCATGATGATTTGCACCTGGCAGGGCAAGTGGGTACAACTTTGGACAATACACTAAGAGTTTTCTGAGCCTGGGTCATTGGATATCCATATGACAGAGAGATAGCTAAGTTTCTTATGTGTTCTGTTTTAAAAGATAGCTTTAGGTAGGGAGTGGGTATTGTTTACAGTTCCTGGTTGAGGAGACTGACTACTGTAAGCAGGTATGTCACTCGACCTTGACTGGTGCACATCCATAATTCATAAACTGTATTACTTATTACAGTTGCAAAAAGAGGTATGCAATGACTGATACCAAGTTTACATACACGTCTAAAATACGCCTGTGAATAAATGAAGATGTGTCAGTTCAACATATTCGAGTTGCAGTTGATGTATAATTTCTCTGACATTTTATATTATGCCTTAAAATTGCTTCAGCTTTACTTAAATTCACTTTCATTGAGCCTCCGAATCCAATACACTTGAAAACTGCCATCATCACATTTCGTGTTTAATGCAAATGACCCTGGACCAAATTCACCAAGTCGGTCTATTTTTGCGGACATGTCGCAAATACGGTAGCATACATACATCAAGTGCATGTGTTGAGGATGCTTAACTAGGGGAGGCTCCTTCATCTGGAGTCCGCGCAAAGTATCAATCAGTTGAAGTAATTGGTCCAGAAAAGCCATCTGAAGAAATCCTACTATCCTTGTCAAACGCTGTCCATAACCAATGAGGCACCTACACTCATAATTAACATACACAGCAAAGGTTACACACTGACAGGCACATCTGGAAATCCCAAGCTTTTAAAAGTATATTTTGGCATAAAACTGTTATTAAAAGTGAATTAAAAGATGTGTATTAGCATACATGGATGTCAACATTTGAAACCTCCTATGGAACAACCACTTATAGTATTTTGAAAAATCCTACATTTTCTGCATTACAATAACTTGTTAAAATTAAAATTGTTAAACTCCCAATCGAGGCAGGTAGTTGGCGACGAATCCCAGTATATGATAGAAAGTGTACTCCGTGTGACTTAAATGATATTGATGACGATTTTCGTTCTATATTCATCTGTACCAAAATTAGAATTAGAAAGAGAAAAATACATTCACAAGTATTATCATATTAGACCAAATATGTATAAAATGAATATCCTATTTAACCCCAATAAGCTTGGAACTTCAACTTGGTAGATGTACATTGCTTCTATCATACCGTTTGTATTATGTATATATGTTGTATAAATGTAAATATTAATTATGCACCTCTTATGCTGCAGTTTGCAGCCTGGGTGAATAAAGATCTGGTCAGACGATATCATAATGACATCAATTCAATTACTTTTCTATATACCCAATAATATACCCATTCCAACAATCTCGCCCGCGTGCATTCACGTATGGGCGTCCATTCATGGCCGCCAAGGGGTTAAGATACTTGCGATATAGAAACGGACTTCGTGAATCCGATAGTGATATATGTACGCTTGAGCGCCTGGCTCCCACCAGCGACACCCAACTCTGACCTACCACGTCCTTGTATGTAGGGTAATTCCTGTCTGACACATAGGGCACGAGGAGGATGAGGATGAGAGTGAAGCGGAAGATGAATGACACCACGAGGTTCTTGTGGATGGAGATTCGGCTACACTGTAACGACCTGCAACAGATAAACAGGAAGATAATGGCTAACGCTGCCGCACACGGGTGAAACGTATGCCATAAATATCAGGGCAGTTTATTTTAAAACGGAAGGCATTGATAATCCAGTGTTCCAGTAAAGCATCGTAATTTGACAAGTTGTAATCCAGTGTTCCAGTAAAGCATAGTAATTTGACGAGTTGTAATCCAGTGTTCCACTAAAGCATAGTAATTTGACGAGTTGTAATCCAGTGTTCCAGTAAAGCATCGTAATTTGACGAGTTGTATTCCAGTGTTCCAGTAAAGCATCGTAATTTGACGTGTTGTTATCCAGTATTTCAGTAAAGCATCGTAATTTGTCGTGTTGTTATCCTGTGTTCCAGTAAAGCATCGTAATTTGACGAGTTGTAATCCAGTGTTCCAGTAAAGCATCGTAATTTGACGTGTTGTTATCCAGTGTTCCAGTAAAGCATCGTAATTTGACGTGTTGTTATCCAGTGTTCCAGTAAAGCATCGTAATTTGACGAGTTGTTATCCAGTGTTCCAGTAAAGCATCGTAATTTGACGAGTTGTTATCCAGTGTTCCAGTAAAGCATCGTAATTTGACGAGTTGTTATCCAGTGTTCCAGTAAAGCATCGTAATTTGACGAGTTGTTATCCAGTGTTCCAGTAAAGCATCGTAATTTGACGAGTTGTTATCCAGTGTTCCAGTAAAGCATCGTAATTTGACGAGTTGTTATCCAGTGTTCCAGTAAAGCATCGTAATTTGAAGAGTTGTAGTCCTTACTCGCGCAAGGTTCTGATGAACGTGCGATGGAATTCCCAATTCGTTCATTCGACGTCCTGGGTTTATATGACCATATCCCTAATAGCTGGTATCACGCAAGAGCTCAAGGCCTTGCATCACCTTATGTTTTCCTCTGTTTTCGGCCAGTGACAAAGAAAGAACCATAGACATATAGGACCCGCCATGTAATGGTGTATAAATTGTTTCCTTATTTTGTTTCCCGTCTTCTTCCTTCTCCTTGGCAATTAGTGAGGCCACAAGGCCTAACACTGACAACATTTTAAAAAACAGAAACTAATGAATTACAATATAAACAAGAATTTAATCAACAAAGAGTAAATATATTACATACAAATCCTTATTTACAGATGGGTCCAAGGATGGTGGCGCAGTGGTTTATGCCCCTGTCATTGGATCCAGAACAATATCTTGTAGGATACCGAATAACAGCTCTATTTTTACAGCAGAAGCAAACGCCATATTAACGTCTCTTAAATATATTCAAAGACACCCTGATTATAAACTATATATAAGCTTTTCAGACTCGCTTTCGTGTCTTAAGGCTATTAAAAACCTATTTTGTAAACGTAATTGGTGGAATTTCTGGTAACAAAATGGCCGATTTTGCTGCACTCAACAAATCTGTGACACCACTTCTAATCCCATACGCTGAATATAAAGCTGTGATTAGATCTTATATCCGTGATCTGCAACAATTGGTTACATCTACTTGGTTTGTCAGTCCAGATTTGAGGAGGTCATTAAGCGACGATGTCTCATTGGCCATACTAGATATATGCATGAGTACTTATTAAAAGCTGAACATCCTCCGTCTTGTATCCATTGTGATCAAAGAATCACGGTCAAGAATGTTCTGCTTGACTGTATTGATTTTTCCAATGTCAATGACATTTGCATGTTGAAAACATCAACCAGTTTTCAATACCGCAACATTTACACTTCTTTATATGAGCCACATTCACTTTTGAGTTATTAATGAATGAGCTTAATTTTACGCCGCTTTTAGCAATATTCCAACAACATCACTGCCGGGGACAATAAAAATGGGCTTCACGTGGGGAATCGAACCCGAGGCTTCGGCGTGACGAGCGAAAGCTTTAACTACTAGGCTACCCCACCGCCCCTTTTCAGCAAGTATAGCTCCATTTTGACATCTATCCACTGCCCACCTCCTTCCGACATCCGCTAGTCTATCCCATCCTTCCGTCCCTACAATATGTACTTTTATCCTGAATACCCTCCAGTATTGCATTCAGTCGCTGTCATGTATTAGGACACACGGTTGTATCTGTCCGTCCATTGTAAAACGTCTCTTTACTTCAGCCTGAGTGTGCTCATTAACGGTTGTGAGTATTATACCCATCTGGTACGTGACGTTCACTAGATTCCTTATAATGTCCTGGAAGGGACATTAAGTACATTAACGACGGCAGGAAGTCATGTAAAAGGGTAAATGTATCACACACTTATAACGCTTCTCGACCAGGGCTTGTTTGATATAGTATTACTGAAGTCTTGGAGTGTACGGGGAAACTAAACAGCCAGGGAAAGAGGTCTTATCGTCTCTTGGACTGAGCTTTTTTTACTTTCATTTACTAACAATATTATACCAATTATTCGTTCCAGATGGAAATTAAAGAAATCCAGTTAATCTGGTTGATATGAACTCACAAGACCCACTCATTTTAGTTCAGCAAATGGGGTATATATTGTTTTGATATTCTGTTAAAACGACTAAATTACAACGTACTCAACGTACATATATCTTATTCGAAGGGACCACTAGATCTTTGGTTCGTCATTACCGTAGGTCCTTTGAGACCGAGACAAACCAAGCAGTTAATTACATCTGTCCGTTATAATTAATAACCATAAATGTATTTTACTCTACTTACAAATAACTCTTTCTTTGATCTGTTTTCCAATAGTTATCGAGCACGTATTTGTCAATGCGTGAAATTGTCAATACGTGCTTGATATTAAAGCCATTTTAAAACAAGTTAATATGTTAACACGGAACCCATTAAAGTTGTAACTGACTTTAGAAATTTCTGCGATAGTTTCATGCGCCGGGAAATCAATCCCGTCATGGCTCTGGTAATAATCATTGTCTTGTCAAGGACTCAACCAAAACGGGGGAAACGCACGCACAAATGCCTGCAACATTACGTTTGGCAAACAGAATACATTAGCATGTCATGACCGGGTGTCCAATGTAAACGTTATTTTGTTTACTTTGGGGAGAATGGTCTTCTGTAAGTTTTATTAGCAAACGGCGTGTCATCATAATTAAAATATGTTCGTGATAGCAGCGGATCCTATCACGATGAAGGGAAGCAACTCTTTACTTTAAGTCGTAACGCCGTACATCAATATCTTTAAATTAAGTTTCAGTGACACGTAACAATGGTTGTCCAAAACGAAAATAATCGTGAAATTATAATAAATATATTGCATCTTGTTTATTTAATGGAATGTCTGGGTTATATTTATTTATTGGATAATTACCTGAAGTAGCAGAAGATGAAGAGGGTGATGATGAGGAAGGTGAGGGAGATGATACTGCCGGCGTAGTAGACGTCAGTCAACACATTGGCCAGCTCCACCTGCAACAAACATCACTAAATCAGCCATCAGTCAGGGCGTGGTCAGTATACCCAGAAGGCCATAAACATGTACACCACAGCAGCCGCAAGATGGGTTCAGTGAAAGGCCCACAGAGCGTCAACACACGAACATGTATCGACACACCGTTACCACCTGGGGTTGTTCATTAAGCCATCGCCCCCTTAAACATGCATAGTTTCAGCAGGCAACATCCAGGCTCTATTCAATAAACACCCTCCTAAACAATACCTTTGACATTCACACCTTCATGGAACGTTACAGTAATTTCCGTAAATAACTACCACAGACAGCAATGATTGAATTACGACTACTCGTGGGAGTATAATTATGGCGCTTAAAGTCGATAAACATCTTCCCGGGTTCGTTAAGTCAGGGGCTGCCTGTACTTTCTACAAGGTTGAGATGGTATTTGGTAGTTATCGCTTTGTATACCATATCATATCACCTACCCCCCCCCCTTCACAACCCTTCAGTAACCCATGCCTGACGTAAAAGGGTCGGGATCGGGTGGTCAGGCTCGCTGACTTGGTTGACACATGTCATCGTATCCCAATTACGTAAAGCGATGCTCATGTTGTTGATCACTGGATTGTCTGGTCCAGACTCGATTATTTACAGACCGCCGCCATATAGCTTGAATACTGCTGAGTGGGGCGTTAAACAACAACCAATCAACCAACCAACATACCCTCACTCACGGACACAAAACTAATCTTGATCAGGACGTTAACCAAACTTCACCCCACTTCACCCTTTGAATATCAGTTTATGACCGAACCCAAGATGTAATCTCTCACAAGGTAATACGTCAGGTATCACGACATTGTCCACTTTAACGAGGTTCAGATGGATGGTCGTTGATTGCTCCACTATTTCTGCAGTAGTAGTGACAGAATTGGTCTCCGCCAACTGACTGGCTTGATGTAAGAAGCACCAGTTTATTACCTCGTGATTGGAACACAGACATCCCCAACTCAAAACACACATGGTTTCAACAACAGGGTTATTTATGACGTTTAGTCATGGAATTCAGTCAACGTATGACGTTATTTACAGAACAAGGCGCTGGGAGGGATAATCACACACTTGTCACCGATTATAGGTGTTACAGGAAAGTACACCCAACTTTTCATCTCAAGCAAGAGGAAGAGAATCGGGGCTTCGCTTTGTGAAGATCCGGGTTAGAATTGATCTTCAACAACCCATCCTTGTAAGAGGCGACTAACGGATAGGGTGGTCAGACTCGCTGACTTGGGTGACACACGTCATCGTATCCCAATTGCGTGGATATATGCTCATGCTGTTGATCACTGGATTGTCTGGTCCAGACTCGATTAAACACAGACCACCGCCATATAGCTGGAATATTGCTGAGTGGGGCAAACTAGCTCACTCAGTTGTGCGGTTGTTACAGGTAGGACAGGACTTTTTTCCCTTTACACCAAAGTAATTCTTTTTCTGAAGATGGTTAATGCCAGATATGCTTTTGTTCTGAAGTTTTATATTCAGTTCACGATAGATACCCCACTCAGACAGTGTACTGACTTCGAGCCGACCAGCACTTGTTCGCTATCCTTAATGTCAGATTAAATATCCTTAACGTCTTTTGGTCTGGAGTGAACGGAAACGGAACCACCAACCTTCCGCCCTCCTAGCAGACGCTCTATCCACTAGACCACTAGACCACTAGACCACGAACGCTAACCATTAACCGTGTTTGTAGTACAGCCATGCCCACTGGCACCTACCTGCACGCCATCATCACCGAAAGGTAAAAGGTCATCGGGCTTGCGCACATAGTCCCCACAGGCCGTATAGTTGGTCCAGCTACCATTCTCCCACTTCCCATTGGCAGAACATCTGCGATGAGCGAGTAAGACTGCAAAATAATAAATATATATTTCAAACATCGGGCACTTTTATTTGTAACATCAACATAAGCGCGTACAATAAAAAAACATTTTAATAACTGCAATCAAAAGCATCAAAACCTTTTCCATTGTACGATTGCGACTGCACCATTAGCTGTGTTTCTGAGTTGAGTTGAGTTGAGTTGAGTTTTACGTCACATCGGCATTATTTCAGCCATATAATGACGAGACCATTCTGCATACGTAGACATTTTAAGTATAAAGGTTAAATGAATTGAGGTTTTTTAAAACATATCTATTCATTATAAACAGAAAAAGTAAAAAAATTAAGAATTTAAAAACAATCCGTCATTCTCATTACATAGCTACAATTTAACTTCCCTCAACTAATTAACAATGAGATGCCCGGAAACCGCAGAAAAACAGATTCATCGCTTCACAATGCGAATCCCTGCATTTGAAAAGTCCGCACAGTCAAGCAGAATATGCTTGATTGTAAACACTTCATCGCAAGAGATACACATGGGAGTTCCATCTCCATCCGTTTTCAGCTGATAGTGTTTATTAACCACTATCGAATCAGTGCTTTCCTGGAATAGTTTGTTGGTTCAAACGCTTGATATCTGAAGGTTCGGTACGTAAAGTGAAAAATTCTAAAGAATTGTGTGGGGTGTTTGTGAAAAAATCGAACTAATGTTAGTCGAGGGGGTCCACCATCATTATCCTAGGGGATGGATGGTTGGGTGTGAGTGTGCGTGAGTGCGTGTATGCGTGAGTGTATAAGTGTCTAGACACTACGCTGGGGCTCAAGGCTCAGAAAGTAGGGTTTCCGGTATCCTGTCTCCCGTGTTAGGTATTATACCCGGCAATATCTATAGCAGTCGTATAATGGGTACCCGGGATGAGAAACTTGATGATAGCTGTGTCGTCACACAGTAGCATTTTATTCTAAAAAAGGTTCGTTGTAACATATGTTTTTGACGTTTGACTTAATGGATCCTGTAATCAGACTCAGTGACGTGTTTGACTGCGGGTCGTATCAGGGGCACCGTGGGTTGTTGATCCGGATATCAACCACTGGTTTGTCCAGTTCAGTGAGTGAGTGAGTAAGTATGGTTTTACGCCGCTTTTAGCAATATTCCAGCAATATCACGACGGGGGACACCAGAAATGGGCTTCACACATTGTACCCATGTGGGGATTCGAACCCGGGTCTTCGGCGTGACGAGCGGACGCTTTAACCACTAGACTACATCACCGCCCCTTGTCCAGCTCAGACCACCGTCACCAGCTCGAATACAAACAGTAACAGGACTTCAGCTGCCAGGCATGTAGGCGTTGTTTAGTTTGGAAGTTTCAGAGCGTGTCTGGTTGCATCCGTTTTAGACAAGAGCGGTCATCTACACGTGACATACAATGGGTAGGATGACTCATACATGCATCTTTATGAAATTGAGAAAACAGTTAATTCAAAATGAGATCATATAAGGAAAGAGGAACCCTTGTTGTGCGTAATTGTTCCATCTAAGTAATTTTCAACCCACGATTCGTATTTTTTCTGCATTTTCTTTGTGTGATTCTTTTGCAATTCCGTTTTCTAAATTTAAATATGTAGGTGAGTTAAAAGTCACTCTATTATTCAAATGTCCATCAGTCAACCAACCAACCACATACCGAGCCAACCAGCCAATCGACCAATGCAACGTAATCTACACGTGATGCAGTGTCGCTCGAAATCTGACCTCCCTTGGCCGAACAGGAACCGCTGATCGAGGGTACCTGTTCCAGAGTGTCACCGACTAAGAACCTAACTAAAGTAAGCACTGATGTAATGTGTGCTTTAATGCTATTTGAATGAGACACCCCATTATAAAACCAAACCGTTCATAGTTACTCACTATTCACTCACTCACTGACTCACTCACCCCACTCACTCATTCAACTCACCACTCACTCACTCACTCACACTCACTCTCACTCACTCACTCACTCACTCACTCACTCACTCACTCACTCTATGTAATACCTACGTGAATCGTTGAAGCCGTAGATTGTCGGACAGGGCCCATACACAGTTGTGTTTGCCGGGGTAGCTGGCCAGCACTTGTAGTTGTCCCACTCAGGGGGGCAGTGGATACCTGCAAAATACATACATACATCATCATCATCATCATCATCATCATCATCATCATCATAAATGAAAACCACATATCTCGGGGACAGTGGGTACCTGCAGCGTACATACATCATCATCATCATCATCACCATCACCATCAATGAAAACCACATGTGTCGGGGACAGTGGGTACCTGCAGCGTACAATCGCCGCCGTCGTCACTATCATCGTCTTCGTCATGATGATGATGATAATGATGATTATCATCAGTGACATCAACACGTTTCATAAGTATATTTTTACCCGCGTATGCCAGATTTTTGTCTCTGCTAACAACTCTTATTGAGTGATGGTGTTTTGTTTTACGCCGCACCCAGCAATCTTCCAGCTATATGGCGGCGGTCTGTAAATAATCGAGTCTGGACCAGACAATCCAGTGATCAACAGCATGAGCTGTTGATCACGCAATTGGGAACCGATGACATGTGTTAACCAAGTCAGCGAGCCTCACCACCCGATCCCGTTAATTGCTTCTTACGACAAGCATGGGTAACTGACGATCAATTCTAACCCGGATGATAAAAATAAGGGAATATTTCATTTGCAGTGGCAGTGACGTCTGATTTGTAAACGCGGGATGACTTTAAGCAGTGGCATAGTCAGTAGAGGAAGCAAAGAGAAATACATGCACACCTCATGAAACCTTTATATAACCCAAATTCTTAACTTAAGATTAGTTAATTTACTGGTTCTAATAATTAGCAATGTTCCAGCAATATCTATGAAGTGAATGAAATTCACATTTTGAAACCGGTGTTCGGGGTGTCAAGCGAACCACTTTGAGAAGCAAACATTACATAACTTAAGTTGCTCTTCTTACAAAAGGAAACTGGTGTTTGAACTGATTGTTGTCTAATGACAAGTTTCAATATTACATGTGGCAATGAGCCTTCAGTAGAAGAAACAAGAAAGTCGTCCTGTAGTAGTACAGAATTACAGATGTGACCAAAACGATTATGAGACTACGACCAAGGGAGAATCTTCCAACCTTGAGGCAGATTGTCCATGGCGACTGACGCCGCGTAGAAACAGTTCTTCCAGGGACAGGTCTGTGACAGGGGTTAATCGCGGTCGGGATTGAGAGGGAACAGTTGTCGTATCTGTCATGTCAAGTGTAAGCTGATTGCGAGAGGAAAGCCAAGAATGTCTAAGGTCGCAGGATTTTTACAGCATTTGTTTAAGCCTACGAGCAGACAAGCCAAGAATAATTATGAGGGCAAATATGAGCACATCGGCATGAGGATACTGTGTCTACGACTCTACGTGCACGACCACGAGGGTGATCATGCCGCCGAAGACGTTGCAATTCACAGTGTAGATCGTAGGCGGATGCAGAGGGGGTTGCTGGGGTGACCTGAAAGTTTATTACATGTCCATTGAAACTCTGGTGTAAAAGAAGTGTTCACCCCCTTCCCCCCCAACCCCTCCTTCTCAAGTGTACATGTGTGCACCCTACCTTTCTCAAACTGCTTCCCTCAGGCATAGCCAATTATAACTGTTTGAATCCCATTTCTGTTCTGATTTCGTTTCTAGTTTTGCTTGCGCTATCATATGCAGTTTGATTGCATTGACGCCTGCACATCCACCTAGTTGAACGACTACCTCATTTAATGTCACACATCGTTCACATGTTCTTGGTACATCATCACGAACCTGATCTTCTTCCACAACTGACGCCCACTAACGCCGGCCTTGACGACTGGATTAGCACAGTCTTCTCGAATATCACTAAATGTCAAAGGCGGTATCATTTAAATGCTGAACTGTTATTCCAATCTGCAAATAACAGTCATGTTTAAATTCCAGCTCTGATAAGGTTTTCAGTTTTAATTCCAACCGTGCACGCCATCGACTGTCCAAATGTCGTTACATTTGAAGAGGGCAATACGCCCCGGGTTGTAGGCCTAGTTTCTTTGTAATCCCCCTTCCATTGAAATAAATCACCTCGGGAGCTAATAAAGCAGTAACGTTGGTAATAAAAATAAAAAAATAAACGCATTACTATCTGTGACATTGACTTTCTGCTGTTTTTTTTATAACTCAAGCTATAGTTGAGATTGAAATTATAAGAGGTACTTGATTCAACGTCCGCACCGACTGATAAACGATGCAGTGGAAGAGGGTTGTACATGTCTGTCAATGAGAAAATACTTGCTATGGAGGCATAAGTCGTTCTGTGTGATGAGGCTCATTTGCAGCCATCGAACCTGACAAGACGCTAATAGTGTTGGGAATTATCACTTGTCTGAGACTGGTATTGATCGAACGATGAACCTATAAAGCATGGCTGTTAGACACCAATGGCAGGGGCTTTCAGAGGCTTTTGAGAGAATAAAGTATTTGGTCGTATTGTTGTAGGTTGTCAGCTGATGATGTTGTTAGTCACAGCGAAGATGAAGCACACATTAATGAAGAGAAGACGTTACAAAAGTAAGCATACGTGAGCTGACAATTGTCTCCGTGGAGTTGTTGGTGGCAGTGGCTGAGTGGGTTTAGCGCCTTGTTGAACAGCATCGCAGTAAGATCACGGCGTCAGCTAATTGTTGGAACCTAACCAAGAAGGACCAGGTCGTAGACGATGTACCATTGTGTTGGATTCAGACTGAGGGGTCAAACAAACACACTTTTGGTTCTTCCCCCTGATTAACCAGCCAGTATTAAAATAGAGTGAGTGAGTGAGTTTAGTGTTATGACAATCCAGTGATCAATAGCATGAGCATAGATGTACGCAATTGGGATACGATGACATGTGTCAACAAAGCCAGCGAGCCTGACCACCCGATCCCGTTAGATCCCGTTACGATAACCATGGGTTACTGAAGATCAATTCTAGTCCTGATCTACACGGGGCTATTAAAATTAGAAAAGTAAGACGAATAAAAATTAAAGTGAGTGAGTGAGTTTAGTTTTACGCCGCACTCAGCAATATTCCAGCTATATGGCGGCGGTCTGTAGATAATCGAGTCTGCACCAGACAACCCAGTGATCAACAGCATGAGCATCGATCTGCGCAATTGGGAACCGATGACATAATTTATGTCAATCAAGTCAGCGAGCCTGACCAACCCGATCCCGTTAGTCGCCTCTTACGACAAGCATATTCGCCTTTTGTGGCAAGCATGGGTTGCTGAAGACCTATTCTACCCCGGATCTTCACGGGTCGAATAAAAATTAAAAATATAGGAACATAAAATATAGCACAGAAAATATATATGAAATTGTTTACACACACAGAAACAACAAACGTTCTGCTAAGAAGAATATGAATTATATGTATATAATGTAAGATGATATATTATCTATATATATAATAGAAAATATAAGTAAATGGAATTATTAATACCCTCCGAAAGATAAAACGTAATGCTAAACTTCAGTGAGGTGCTTCTGTTCTTTCTTACCCAAACATATATGATAGTTATGGTTCTCTATATCAGTAGATGGACGGAGGGTTGAGGAGGGGTAGTGGTTAAAGCATTCGCTCGTCAAGACGATGTCCCGGGTTCGCCTCCCCTATTTCTGGTGACTCTGTTGTGTTTGACCGCCTCCGTGGTGTAGTGGTTAGAGCGTCCGCCCGGCGAGCGGAAGGTCGCGGGTTCGATCCCCGACCGCGTCATACCAAACACGTTAAAATATGGTACTTGTTGGTCCCTGCCTGGCGCTCGGCATTAATGGGTACAACAAGGACTGGTCGGCTCGGAGTCAGTATAATGTGTCTGCGTGGGGTATTCATGCTTCACTGCGGCATGGTATCTCAGTGGGCTAGCACTACAAAACCAGCTTCAGTCTGGGCTAGTACAAGCAGCCGCACATACACATGACACACACGCATATGCACGTCGTTAAACATTTCATCACCTCACCTTTGTTGTGTTATGGATTGATATTGATTGATCGAGTGAGTGTAGTTTTACGCCGCTTTTAGCAATATTCAAGCAGTATCACGGCGGGGGACACCAGAAATGTGCCTCACTCATGTGGGGAATCGAACCCGGGTCTTCGGCCTGATGAGCAAACGACTTAACCACTAGGCTACCCCACCGTCCCTGTAATGATATTGACGTGCTGCAGATAGATGAAGAGAGTTTCGTCATTTCGTTGTGTCAGGATACCCCGAGTTTGTTTGAATCCCATTTTCAACTTAATTGTGAGATTCTTCCTCCTTCAGCACACGAAATGCTCGTTTGCTGAGCCAAAGTGATAACATAATATAGCAGAACACTTAATACAGTACATTGCGCTACTGAAGGTGCTAGATATGCTAGGAATTCTATAGAATGCATCTCCTGAATAATGCATTTGCAAATATAAACGAGCAAAGCATGACATTAAATTATTACAGTATTTTGTAACAAAGCGAATCATAAACATGATTATTGATGGGTCCTGCATGTACACTTATAGATAATGACTTACAACATTATTTGAACACGATCTGTCGTTAATGGTAGAGCGAAAAGGTATTTAACCATCACAATAATGGCAGAGGGAGGCCCTTCATCGCAGTGATGAGATATCTTCAGTTTTCATTAAGTTAATCAGTCACTATGGCGAGATTCCTCAGAGCAGCTACCCACAAATAACTTTTTCAAATCCTAATGGCGTCCATGAAGCTGTTATGAAGCTTGTTGTCATCAGTTTTGTGTAAACTGCCTTCTCCTATCATTAAAGGGGCGGTGTCTAGTAGCTAAAGGGTTCGCTCGTCACGCTGAAGACCCGGGTTCGATTCCCCACGTGGGTACAATGTGTGTGAAGTCTATTTCTAGTAACCCATACTTGAAGTAAAGGCGACTAACGACTAACGGGCTCGCTGACTTGGCTGACACATGTCAGCGTATCCCAATTGCGTAGGTCGATACTCGTGTTGTTGATCACTGGATTGTCTGGACCCGACCCGATTATGTACAGGCCGCCGCCATGTAGCTGGAATATTGCTGAGTGCGGCGTAAAACTAAAACTAAAACTCACCTACAAGACGATAGCACCCCTCTAGAGCACGCAAACGAGGCGACCTATTTTAGGAAACAGTATTTAAGTAAAAGAGGTCTTTTCGTTTGCAATTACATTGCAATTATATACCGTCATGGAGGTCAGTACTTCATTCTTGGGGTATCCTTCAACTGCGACGTTCATGCTATCATCCCCATATATATGTTAAACAACAAACCCCAATACAGGCA